AACGGCGAGCAGCTGGTAAAGTAAGGAAGGTCGTCATGAAGGTTGGTGTGCAAAAGTGCTTTGATTGCTTCTAGCACTAGGATGCAGATGCAGATGGTAGTGAATTATATATAACTTACAAGATTTTTTATAAAGATATTCATAGTAGCATTTTAGAGTAAATAACATAAAACTACTACTTTACAGGTTAGGATTCTAAAAAACTATCGGTTTTAAATTTTTCTCAGATAACTACCAAGTGGGTGGTCGGCTGTTTCAAAAAACCCAAATTCCGCATTGCTAACGTTTAAACCGATTTATGACAGATTGGACCCACTCCTAAATAATCTGTTAGTTGACTGTTTTGTTTGACCGTTAACTTATTGTGGGACCCACGTGTAAGATGTCTCTTCTTCCTCCTACCATTTCTTCTCTTCTTATCTCTTTCTTTCCCATCTCCTCCTCCCGGCAAAGGCCCGACCACGGCCACCCCCACCACGCCCCGCGCCCAGGAGCAAGGGTCGGCCGCCGCGAGCCGCCCCCAGGAGCAAGGGCCGGCTGCCGCGAGCCGCCCCCAGGAGCAAAGGCCGCCGCGAGCCGCCGCGCCCAGGAGCACAGGCTGCCGCGAGCCGCGCGCCGCGCCCAGGAGAAGCGACAGCGGCCGGCAAAGAGCTCCGCCTGGACCCAGCCCGTCGGCCTCCTAGAGAAGCCCCGCCTTTCGCGCTGAGGAACGCTGCGGCCGAGCCGCCTACTTCCGCCTGGCCCGCAACCTGGTCGCCGGCGTTGTTCCTGTCGCGACGGAAGGAGCTCCACGCGTCGCCCGGGACGGAAGGGAGCTCCACGGCGGTGCCATGGCTGCTGGCCGGCGAACCTCACGCCGGCTGCTGGTGCACGACCACGGGGAGGGACCCGATTGCTTTTTCAAAAATTTGCAGGGACCCGATTGTGTTTTGAAAATTTTGCAGGGACCTGATGGCATTTTTGAAAAGTTTACAGCCACTGACATGTGGAACCCACATGTCAGTTAACGGTCAAACAAACGGTCAAATAAACGGATCGTTTAGGTGCGGGCCCGACCTGTCATAAACCTGTTTAATTTTTTAACAACGAAGATTTTGGGTTTTTTGAAACAGCCGACCACCCATTTGGTAGTTATCTGAGAAAAATTTAAAACCAGTAGTTTTTTGGAACCCTAGCCTGTAAAGTAGTAGTTTTATGCTATTTACTCTGGCATTTTAGGAAATATGTAAACATACCTTCATTGTGTGCTCTATCGACATGTGAGCGAGTCAAATATAACTATAAGAGATTACGTGCCTTGTAACTATAGTGAACGGTTAAAAAAATTCTAGAAGGAATGAGGATTTTTTTTTACGTAAGGTTGTCGTGCATTGCACTTGCAAGCTTACTAGATGAGAAGTTGAGATTGTTGATTTTGCTGCTTGAAAGAGCTGAGTTCCAATAATGGATGGATTTGTTTCATGGTAAGAGTTATTTGTTTTAATGCGGATGGGGTGTTCTTTATCACCAAATTCCATGCTATTTGTTGCAGGCGTTCCACTTGCTTTCCAATCATGTTTGCACCACAACAATGTCACACTTATCAATGCAACATAGTGCTAGGCCTTGATTCAGTTGTTTTTATTTCAGATTTTAGTATGGAGCGACTAGGCCTTGATTCAGTTATTTTTGTTTCACATTTTAATAGCTGAGCGATGGTGTGATTTTTTTAAAAAAATGAGGATAACCCCGCACCTCTACATCAGGATGATGCATGCAGCCATATATTATTAAAAGTGCATAATCCAGCAGCCGAATACCGTCGACCTTGAAACAAATCAGAAAACAAACCATGAGGCCGTATACCTCGTGACAGTACCTCCCCCAGATAGCTACTAATCCCAAAGATACAAGACACAATATAAACAAAAATACACAACTACTAGGCTACGCCTTCAAAAAGGAATCACTGCACGTGCGCCGATGATGGTGAGTCCACCACAAGGTTGAACTACGGATTCTCATCCCCAAATCCAAGCTTCAATCCACCGCCCCCAGCAAGGACACGACATAGCACGCGACGACATATTCCGATCAAAGATCTTGTGTTCCACCGGAGTGCATAAACTTGTTGCTGAAGCTGTCTATGCCATCCACTCTTATCCGTCTACCGACACCTCGATAGACGGATACCTCTCGAGGAGACAACGGAAGACAAAGACGTCCCATACCGCCTGTCTGGCGATGTCCCTCGACGGCGGCGGAGGGGAAGGAGGGATGTGAACGAGGTGGC